CTCAGGGAGGCCCCAGGCACAACTCCTTGTAGGTGTGGGATCTAACCTAAAGCCCTACTCTTAAACTCTGTATGAGCTATAGTCTAAACTCCTAGTATCCCCCTTTATATCCCCTATAGTAGTCCCCCCTATAATCTCCTATATTACCCCCTTTAAGAAGTTTAGACTATAGCTCATATCCTAAGCGACCTGACGTAGCTGCCAGGAAAGAGAGGAGCCCATCGATGCTTTGGAGCTCGAGGAACTTCTATCCTGCTGGCCAACCTTCGCTGAAACTGGGCCACTACATGACCTGAATGCCCAAGTACCCAAAAATCATATACTTAACCAAACCCTGTACTACAATAAACCCTAGACCCTAAGCCAAAACCCCTAGCAGCCAATTATTGGGCACATGGGTACTTAGGGATGGTGTGTTGGGCTTAAGCCTTCAGGATGTAGGGATTTGGGATCCTTTACATATAACGATATGGACTAGAATATGAGCTATCGTCTAAACTCCTTAGAAGGAGGTTATGTACGGGGATTATCTGGGGAAGTATCATAGGGGATATTCAGGAGCATATTAGGAGTTTCGACTATAGCCCATACAGATGACACAGGGTTCAGTGTCTATTTTTTAGGGCCATATAGGGGTTAGCTGCTGCTTGAACTTTAATCCCTCGCTCCTAGTTGTTTGGCATTTTTCCCACCCCAACCCCCCATATAGTAGCCCATATGACCTATAGTCTAAACTCCTTAAAGGGGGACTATTATCAGTGTGAATAAGGGGGATACTAGGAGTTGAGACTGTAGCTCATATGTTGAGGTCGCATAGGTGAGGTTTGGGCTAGGCTGGTATATAGGCGGATGGGATACCATGATTTTTGGTCCCAGGGTTTGAGGGGGGTCTTATACAGCAGTTGCATAAGCAGGGGGATTGTGAAGGTTTAGTTGTGGATCCTTTGCCCTAGTTCTTCTTTCTCGCGTCCTTTTCAGGACAGAAAAATGTGCATGTGAAGAAATTTATTTTCCTCCATGTGAGCCAACATGACGCTTCCCTCAGGAAGGGCCGAGTTTCCATTTCATGTTCTATGTTCTTTTCCGCTTGACTCTCCAATACATCTAGCGAAAAGTGATATAAGAGTTCCCATCTTCGTTTCCAGCAGACCCTGCTCTTAACCCTTAAGCCGCAAACTCTAAGGAACATCGGCAGACGTTCGAGTCCAAGCTTGAGAAGTACGACACCTCCAAGACGGGGAAGCTGTCCAAAGAAGACTTGAAGAGCTTCTCGGCTGCTGCTAAGGAACGTAAGTTGCCATAATGAGGAAGCCCTTCAGTTTACCATATAACCATTTATGGTAGTTCCCCTTATGGGGGGCCCCAGTATAGACCCCAAAAAAATTATAATCCTTATTATAGGGCCCCTCCATGAAGGTATCCTCAATTTTGGCAAGCCCAAAGCCACGTTTGGCAACTTTAGCTCCGCAGCAGCAACCCAGGTTACCTCACTGACCTCAAGGGGGGAATGAAGGTGGGGGTTTCCGAAAAATGTGGGTACTTGGGTTTAGGGTTCAGGGGTCCCAATAATAAGGACTCTAGTATATTGGGTCCATATTGGGGTCCCCCTATTTTGGGAAACGACCAGGTAGCAAATGACGAGGTGGACTGGTTCATCAACCGCGCGGGTCTATTTAGGGATGATGGGAAGATGGACAAGATGGACCTTTCAAGGGCTACTTCAATCTGGTATGCATCTTTGGAGGAGGCGAAGAACAAAGACAAGAAATGCTGCCATATCTCGTAGAGAATCACCCTAAATCCTATAGTCCCCCTTAAGTAGATAGAATATGGCTTTGGGTACAATATAATAAGATCCCCATATACCCCATATTCTATCTACCTAAGGGGGACTATAAACCCCTAAACCCTAAACTAGCCTTGGCGTTGCATCTTCCAGCTGCTGTCAGCTAAAGCCACGATCTTGAAGCACGTGACCACTGTTTGCACCGGGGGCTTTGCAAAGACGTGCTGGAATCGGACAAGGGCAAGGGCACTTGGGTGGACTTTGGCTTGGCGACGATCACACTCCTGGTGACAGAGTCCACGATGATGAATGTGTACATTAATACCTTTGGCAAAGGAAACCAATCCAAGCACAATCCAAAGGGATGGAACTCTCAGTCCCCTTCCTCCAGGGTCAGCTCCTACCGCTCCTTCACCACCTGGTCCTCCAGTGCAAAGGCTTCCAGCGCGGCGTATGCTCGGAGGATGTGGCACAGCCCCCAGCCCTAGTCATCAATTTCTGAGTCTGGGATTGGGATGTGCCCGCAAGTCGAATCCGAACCCTGAAGTGGACTTCCGGTACCACTTGATGAAGCAGGACCAGTTCTTGCGATGAGAGATACAGACCGGTACACGCTTCACAAGGTGGCGGACATCTATCTTGGGTCATGGAGCATTGCCTCCCGTTAGGCCGCCAGAGGGGATATTCGCGAAGACAAGACCACCTCATATACTGGCGTGACACTGGCTGCGTTGACCACTCAGACACACCAAAGAAGATGTACATCTTGGAATCACACTTGGAGGACTTTGTGAACAACGTGAAGCATGTGATCTGCCTGATCTCCACGCACTACTGGACTCGAGCTTGGTAGCCGTATGAATTCTGCCGCACGGTCAAATCTAGCCTGGGAAGGCGGAATCCGCCAGCACCTCGGGACCGCCGCCACGAGGCTGAGCCGGTGCGAGCAGGAGTTCGACCGTGGTGAATTCTCTGGTGAATGCCTCCTTCTAGAACTCCTCATGCCTCGACCCACTGGACAAGAAGCTGATCGACAAAGAAGATCAAAATGGAGTTGAATTCCATGCCCCACTTCAACCGCCTGGCAGAATTTGTTGCTTGCGTGCTGGGTGGCAGCTTCGTTTTGTGGCGAAGGTGTTTTTACCACAACTACGACTCGTGCCTTGCATTCTGGCTAACTCCAACGGTGAGAGTCGCAGCATGGCTCACAAGAAGCCGAAGGAATGACGACATAAATTCATGCTCTGCGCAACCAGTAAGAAAAGTCTCTGTGAAGGGGGATGCGTGGCTGCTGAAACTACAGGCACCAGCCTGGTTGTTTCTAGCATGTTGTGGAGGGCCACGCCCTTCATTTTGACAAGCAACTCCATCGGGGTCACATTGCATGCCGACACTCCCCCAAGACAGATATAGAACCTCATACGAGCTATAGTCTAAATTCCGTAAACAGGGTTACATAGGGGATGATATATATATATATATGTTTTTGGGGGGGGGGGAGTACTATAGGGGTTGTTAAGGAGATGCTAGGAGTTTAGAATATAGCTCATATGAGCCTTTGGGGACAAGAGTTTTATCATCTGACGTGTTCAGCCAACAAGATTCGTTACCTGAGCAGTGTCCCAGCATTCAGAAGGGAATCTTCCCAAACCACGCATGGGGCTGCCTTTTCATAGGATTCACAATGTAGAACTGTTCGGTCCTCCAGGGTTTCAGACTATGAAAAAAAATGGTGTACATGGGAGTTCCCTATTGTTAAGGATCCTTCTTGGGGTCACCATAATGAGGACTACAATACATTGGTGTTTGTGAGGGGGTCCCCTTCTATGGGGCAACTGCCATACAGAGAGGATCGGCGTTTGCTCGCTTGTCCCTGCACTTGCTGAGTTGTTTCTCACGTCGAGGGTCTCATGTAAATTGACTGGCTATCCACTTGAACCCTAAACCCTAAATCCTAAACCCTAAACGCTCTAATCCAAAGGCTTTCGCAACACTTGAGGCGCTCCATAAAGGTGACAGCCCGATGCAATCTGGAAAAGCTCTCTTCCAGGACATATAGTTCTATTTTAAGTAGATAGGATATGGGGTATATGGGGATCCTATCATAATATACCCAAGGCCATATGCTATCTACTTAAGGGGGACTATAACCCCACAAAACTAAGAGCCTGAAATCTGAATCCCGAAGCCAAATTCAGTCTGAAGGAGAGATTCCTGCAACGCCTTCCAGATGGAGGCGGGCTGTGACAGAAGATCTTAGACTTCCAGTGTAGGTTCTAGCAGGAAGGGCACAAGCATTAGGGTTGGGGTTTGGGAGGGGTGTAGGGTTGATTGGCTTTTGAGTTTTCAGGTTGAAGCATTTAAGGCTTTCAGGCCTTCAGACTCTAGGGATGTAAGGTTTAGGGTTTGAGGTTGTCTACTTTGTGGCGGTTTTTGTGCCAGGGATTGCACAGGCTTCGGCATGATGATCTTCACACTGTCCTCTTGGGGGCTCAGGATTCTTGTCAACTACCCCGTCTTAAGGCGATTGATCAGCAACAGTTCGGTGAGATTACGGAGGTTGAGGTTTTGTTTGACCCTACACCTTTGACCCTGATGTCCATCCGTCCAACGTAGCCAGTCTAGTCAGCGTGCTGGGAGCTTTCAGAAATCGGGGTTTGAAGGGATTTAGATGTTTTCTCCATGTTGGAGCCCGTAGCATTTACGGCACGATCAAATGCGGAGCATGCTGCAGGTTCCGCTGGACCCATTTTAAATGCATACCATGAGCATCGGGGGAAGTCCCTAAGTTCAGTATTCTTTGTTTCGCCTATAGTGAGTTTTCTATTATGATACGGGTTCCGAAAACATTAATTTAGGCCAAGTCCCATTGTCATTTTTGGGGATGATCTACATACTTTAGGAGGACCCCCCACCCTTGAATAGTGATATAGTAGGAAAATAATGGGACTTAATATAATCCTTGTTTTCCCTTATAGTCACTATTACAGGGTGGGGGTCCTCCTAAGACCTACTTTAGTCCCCCTTAAGTAGATAGAATATGGAGTATATGGTGGTCTTATTATAATATACCCAAAGCCATGCCATATCTACTTAAGGGGGACTCTACATACTTCAGAGATCCAGCCAGTGCTTCAAGATTCGAAGTTGGAGCCTTCCGCCGAGTCGCCCGACGTTTTGAACAAAACAACGATTGTGTGGCTATGATATTATCACTATTGTCGTCATTGTTATTTTGATTGTGAGTGTTATTTTGAATATTGTTACTCTATCTACATGTATATACAAATCATTTTAGCTTGGGACATGGCGAAGCCCTTCCTGACAGACATTCTCTTTGTCCTATCCCTAAGCACCCTTGCATGGCAAGTGGGGCATCCAAGCAAGGATTTGGCTACATAACCCCATATAGGGATGATATTGGGGCGGCTTAATATCGATTATTAGTATTATTATTATTACTATGCTACCATTACTTTTGCTATCATTACTATATAGACCTAAAACCTAAACCTCGGGAGGGCCCCTGCATGGTCTAGGTAGCTGTAACCCTGTCATCTCTTTCGCCAGGCTACGCCATTACCATTCGCGCCTGCAGTGACGACAAATGTCGTGCTTTGGGGCCGCGGCCTTTTCCTGCAAAAAGCATCTCCAGTGGGATTCCTCTTGAATTCGGGGGCTGGAAAAGGTAGCAGGAGCATCCTAGAGTCAATCAACATTCTACCGCAAATAGCTTTTCTCTGAGCAAAGTTCCACAGCCAAGGGGGAAGTTCGAATTAAAGTCGAGCTATTGGAACGACAGCCGGTTTGAATCAAAAAGCTACGCAAGGCGTGGAGTGCTAAGCAGGACGGTCTTCTTGTCAGATATCTATATGAGCTATAGTCTAGATTCTTTTTCGCCCGCTGAATACCCCCCCATGGTAGTCCCCTATAATATAGCCCCCTTCTAGGAGTTTAGACTATAGCTCTCATATGTGGGAGGGTAATCCTCTCGGACACTTTGCAACCTCCGTATGCCCATGAACTTTGGCATGGGTTGTAGCCTGAGCTCAGCCTCCTTTGTAAGAACCAAAGTTCCTAACCCAAGTCATTCAACGCATCGACGAACCGGGTTGGAAAGAGGCCTTCGATGCACATCCTCGCAGCGACAAGATTCGCTTCCGAAACTAGTGTAAAGTGCGACCGCCAACGGAACATTCGCTGAAGCCTCAGAAACAGATCCTAGAAAAACGAATGAGGCGCGACCCCGTTCCCAACGTGGTACGCGCACGCACTCTGATCTCCGGGTGCGCCAAGTTGTGCTTGCATTCAAGCTCTGCTCTTTATTTGTGAGTGCTGTGCGTTCTGTAGAGGGATCGAGAAGAGCTCAAGCATCGCATCTACGTGCTTTCTCTTCCGATTACGCCCTGCCACACCAGAAACATTGCAGAAACTCGTGTGCTGCAATGCCGCATGGTTCCAAGTGTGTGCATATAGAAGCTGCGACCAGCAGTTTGTGGAGGTACATCATCCGACCAAACCCTTCAGGTCCAGGTCGGGCTGGCGTGGCGATGTGGCGTGACAAGAGTTCAAAGGTTCTGCAGGGTAATTAGGGGCTTGGGGGCAGTGCTTTCAGGAGTCTGGCTTCAAGGCCTTAGCATTCCATGCCCTTGCAGGGGTTGCTGGCTGATGTCGTAGGCGTCGTGGTGACTGGCGTCTCGCAGACGGACTTGGGTGGTAACGTGCCGCAGTGGGTCCAGGGCCTTGTCAAGAAGGCCGGTAGTGCAATGGCACCTGCACCTGCTTTGGCGATTAATTATTCTACTGTAGGGATTGTATAGGGTTAGATAGGGTTAGGTAAGGTTAGTGAGGGTTTTAAAACGCTTTATAGAGGGTATATAGGTTTTGACACGGTTATATCGGGTTTTATAGAAGAGCCCGAAGCCTTGGAACGCGACTGCACGTTGGTCTTCATCAGGAGTAGGGCTCCCTTCTGTACCCCGCCAAAAGAGAAGCAGCATCATAGGTGAAAGGTCCAATAGGAAACCTTTGTGTGCGAACCTCCCATGATCTCGACTCCTAATGTAGACCCCTGATTCATAAACCCTTTCCCCTTATTAAGGATTAGACTAGGGATCCGAATATTAAGGCCCTTGAAAAGAGGAGGTTGATTAATCATGGGTCCCAAAGCCCTAAACCCTAAATAGTAAATTCCATTTTCTTTTCCAGTATCCTTATATAATCCCAATATAACCCCCATATTACCCTTAAGTCCTGCTGACTGGTGAGGCTGGCAAGCGCAAGCCAGTAGAATGGGCGCAGCGACTGGAGGAAGCTCTGGTTTAACTGTGCAAATTTCTGTGAATGCATGGGTGCGGGGGGGAGCATACTTCTGACCCAAAGGCTTCCAACATCTATCCCCAGATGAGGAGTATGTTCGAAGGTTCCCGCTCAACAGGCGCATGTGCAGACGGGAAAACCTCCAACCAGCAGAGGACTTGGGTAGGAAAGCACTGAAGTTGCAACTGGGCTTTAGGATCCTCTACTCCTTTTTTGCCACCATTGGAATCCGGGAATCCCCCTCCCTAAACCCTAAGCCCTCAATCCCTAGTACCAATTTGAGAAACATCCACAAGTCCACAAGATGGTGAAATTCCATAATTGGGGGGTTGTGGGCAATCTGTTTATGGCCTGGGGTTGGGGAGTTGAGGGTATTGCTTAGATATGGTGAAGTCCAAATTATAGCCAGGCAATACCCTTTCCATCCCTGTATAGCTAGAAGATAGTGGGCACTGGTGTTTTGCAATATGCAGACCTAGGTCATTACCCAAACCCCCTAAAGGATCCAAAAAATGGAAACCCCCCAATATGAACCCATTACTACATTGGGGAAGCTAGGGGATTCTTAGGGGGTTCCATTTTTTTGGATCCTTTAAGGGGTCTGGGTATTGGCCGGAGGCGATCATTTGGTACTAAACCCTAGGCCCTATGCACTCCAAGCGTAGAGGATCACTGCAACATGAGAGCGGGCTTGGACGTGCGAAGCCGGGGACTCTGCTTGGAACTCCACTTGCGCCCTTGTACCTTCGTACCTAACTTCATGTCTAGTGGGTCAGGAGGACTTTTGCCGCCTGTGTGCGGGTGGTTCTCCTCTAAATCATGGGTATTGGGATCATATGGGGGTTGCTCAAAATTTGGGGTACTTTTTTGGGGGGCCCAATGATGAGGATCATGATATTTTGGAGGTCTATATTGGGATGCACCATTTGCGGAAGCTCTCATATGGGGGAGACCTTCATTTTGAGAAATAGACGTTTCTCACATTGGTACCAATGGATTCCTCAACATGAAGCCCCACGATCCCTGTATGTCCCCTGCAGGACAACCAAAAAAACTCAGCTCGAAGCGACGACATCCATCAAGCAGAAGCTGGAATACGTAGCAGTATTTTCGTCCCTTTATAAGCCCTGTGTAGTAGTTGTATAAGCCAGATTACGACGACCTCATTTCAAACGGTTGCTCATTTTGAAGACATTTCCAGAGGGGCTGACTTCCAGCTTCTGAAATTTGCAAAACCCCAATCCATATAGCTATCTAGTATATAGTTGTTCCCTAGAGTAGGTAGTTGTATGCGAACCCCTTTAGTACTATGTACCTATACGGGACCTTGCTATAATTACTGAGGCCCTTGCGTTAAATCAATGCTCTCCCTCACAGTCTACTCAGGTAGAAACAGGCTCACTTTCGCCGATCTGAAGAGCAAAGCGCGAGGCGGTTGCAGCGTTTTGGGTAGGAGAATGGGGACCTTCATTTTTTGAAGCACTGATGTACCACAAGGGTATCCGAAGCTCAGTAGCTGTTTCAATCCGCTTTGCGAGTTTTGGTTTCCCACCGGCGTGCACACCCCTGCAGCACCCTTCGCTTGTTTGTGCAAGGGCGGTCCTTGGGAAAGTCTGACAATGGCGGATTGGTTTCAGCTAGGCAGAGCCCCGATGCATCCTCAGAAAGGGAAGTGGCTTCTTCCTCAACACCTATTATTACTATTAGTATTACTAACTTATTACTCTTACGACGACGACTGCTACTGCTACTGCCACTGCCACTGCTACTTCTACTACTACTACTACTACTACTAGGTGCGCGTCTCATATGTGACGCTATGTTTTCCTTGCATTCGTAATGGTTTTACTATGGGTCTTTGCTCATTCTAACCTCCCGGACCTAGTTCCCTTTTTAGCTCTTTTCTGTGATCTACCGTTTTTTAATGATTTAATTCTATCATCGCCCCATTAGTCCAAGCTACGCTCCATTAGTCCAAGGGTTTGAGGAGTTCTGATTTAACTTTATCATCGCCCTATTAGTCCAAGCTGCGCTCCAGTAGTCCAAGGGTTTGAGGAGTTCTCATTCAGGGTTTATCGTTCTCTTGCATATGGAGTATTATTTCCCATGAGTTAGAAAAAACGACTGCATCATCAGCATCTGGAAACAAGGAAAGGGTAGGGTGAGGGAAGGTCTAAACCCGTATTTTGGCAGAATTTCATTAACAAAAAAAGTAGGCCGGGCCTACCTAAACCAGGGAGAACCCTATCTTGCCAACCCCCTAAAACCATCAGCCTGCAGCGGTTCTAGGCTTAGCGCCGGCCATCAAGATAAAGAGATATAGGATTAGGTGGGTGATTTTTCGTATGGTTTGGGTATATAGGATTTGTGTAAAGGCTTTTTTTAAACTGGGTATGCTGTTGCATAGGTTTCGGCTACAATGTTGAGGGATACCGTAATAGTTTTTATGGATTATTGTACTATTAAATCCATAGGGTTAAGTTGGGTTTTTGGAGTGGGTTTGGTTTAGGATAAAGGTTTCCATAATAGATGTGGGGGCCATACTGCCTTTCCTTTACAAACACATGTCTCAGCAACAGCTCAGGCTGTCTCCACAAAGAAATGTCGCAGATTCATAACACAGAAAACACTGAAAAAGGACCCCCCCCCCGCACTTTATCGAATCCTAAAATGTGTGGCAAGCGTGGCACTTTAGACATGCGAAGTACACAAAAGTGTGGCGTCACCAACGGGACGCGGACCTACTACTATTACTATTACTATTACTATTACTACTACTACTACTACTACTACTACTTAATGTCCTTCCAAGTCGCTTCGCAGTAGAAAGATCGCTTCCCCTCAAGAGTAAGATGTAGAAGCTTACATTATTCTCAGTTTTATGGCCCCAGATACCTCTTGTAGTTATGGTAAAGGGCGCTGCAAATAAACTCATCATGATATTGGTAATTACGGAGACCCGTACCGTACATTTGTGTGTTGTGGGGTCTCTGAATTTGCCTGAACACCCGAAAACCTAAACCCCAAACCCTAAACTTATACCCTAAACCCTAAACCCTAAAACCATAAGCCAAGTCTCGCAGGGTGGACCAAAGAGCTGCGGGCCCAGTCTTGGAAATTCCAGTGCTACAGGACCAGTGTTATGGTCCCTTTAAAGAGAGTTTATACAGGGATACAGGGGTTATAAAGGCTTATATAGGGATAATGGAAAAGAAAATGGAAACTATTGAGGGTTTGGGGTTTAAGGTCATAGGGATTTACAGTGGTAGGTTTGAGAAAGCCATTTAATTTCTATTACTCTTTGTCCTTCAACAATCCTTATAGAGCCCAAACCTACCCTAATATAGGGAATGTACTCGTTTCAGGGCTTAGGGGTCTAGATAATTACCAACTAGACTCAAATGGAAGAGAAGGTGGAAAATGAGATGGAAACTGGGGCTGCATAGGGGTTTTAGAGGGTAGTTACCTATATTCATGATCCTAGTTTTCTGGCATACATACGGTATAGGGTAACTCAAAGAGACTTTTTCAATGATGTTGGTACTTATGTAGGGTACTGGAGTAGATACGTAGTGAGTGAATGCCCAAAGTTGGTGGCTGGCATCTGCAGTTACGCGTGGACTGCTACATCGGGGTTTGGGGTTTAGGGTTTAGGGTCTAGGGCACATCAGAAGAAGAACATATATGAATTAATCCCTGCTCCCTATAAAACCCCCCGCCACTTCTAATAACCGAAACTTTCAGTGAATCATGAGTTCCGCTACGACCCCCCTCCATCCTGCCCCCCCTCTCCCCAGAGGATCACCTTCAGGGCTTCACTAAGGCGAATCAATGAATCCGGAGCCTAGAGCGCACAGAGTAGGGGGAGGAGGTAGGGGAAGCCACATTTAGGTGTACCGGACCTGAATGTCGAGAAATCTTGGAGCAGCCACCAGGGAGGATCGAACACGTAGTTCCTTAAAGCAAGACACAGTACCCCCTGAAGCAATACCACAAAAGATCCTACACATCCTAGGAGATTTACTCACATGTGTAAGCCTGGGGGAGTGAATGTAGGATAGATAAAGCAGGTATATATGGGCAGGCGTTTGGTACGGTCTAGGAGGGGGGGGGAGTGCCATGAACGCGCAGAATCTCCATGACCGTTTTTGTTTTCAACCCTTCGCACTCTCAAAAATGCCAACAGTCACACATGGACTGGGTGTTTGGAAGGGAAAACACCAGCCACCCACAGGGAAGGGGAAGGAGGCCAAGACCAACAGGGTGCATACTAAGGGCTGCGTAGGAATACTGGTGTGTGCATATACAGGGTGTCCAATTCTGGGGGACCATAAATGAAGAAAGAAAGATCATAATGTTAACTGTGCATTTGGGCTATCTAAGGACCAGTACTTGGGTCCACTACCCCTAAACCCTACCTAAACCCTAAACACTTTCAAGAGCCCAAAATCCTAAACCCCAAACCCTAAAACCCTAAACCATAAACCCCAAACCCTAAACCCCTGAAGCTCTTGTACTGCTGTTGTCTCTCCCCCCAGGCTGGCGCAGAACCCATGTTTTCCGCGCGACGGGGCCTCCACCAGGCCATCCGTGAGTGAGTATCGGGTATGTGTTTTGCGGCTTAGGACTTAGAGTTGAGGGTTACGATTTAGGTTTTTATGTTTTCGGGTTTGTGGGCTCAGGGCTTCGGTTTGGGATTTAGGGTTTTTAGGACGTCGGGGTTCAGAGTTTTGGGCTGTCAACATTCATTTTCTGAACCATCTGACTTGTTGCGAGGATAAAGCTACCCATGATGGCTACAGCGATTATTGACACTATTAGCCAGAACACAATGACGACAACAGCGGTTACTTCTACTTGTTCTGTGCTTGCTATTTTTTTGATTGCCGTCATTCTTCTAGGATCAGGGGTTGGGCCAGGAGTGAGGACACTGGTTTGTTCCACCTTGGGAGTTTGACCAAATCACAACTTCCGGATCCGCGACCTTCTCG